GGAACCCCATTAAATTAATAATTATGGTTACTGGTCTAAATTGTCCTATAATTGCTTTGATCTATTTTAATGTTTTTCTTAAAAGTTATACATTTCATTAAGACTGCTATTTTTATTAGCATGCATCAGCATTATCATTTTAACCTACTCCATATCATGATAACTAATTTCAATGCTGTATATGGCTCTTTTTTTAAAAAAAAATTTGCCTTTCTACATTTACCATCTTATGGTAATGTAGTCTCTTGGGGTGAATACCCAGTTCATTTACTTTCATCTAAAAATTAAAGCATTTAATGCTATGAAATTTCAGTGTAATTCTGACCACATTCCAGAAATTTTTGACATGTAGTGTTTTCACCAGCATTATTTTTTGAATTGCTCATATTGCATCCGGAACCGTTTTTTGACACAAAGGTATTCAAATAAATCTTTAGTTTACTCTTCTACAGATTATCTGTCTGTCTCTGTTTATTGGGGGTTCTGGTTCACAGAATGCAGATGGTACAATTTATCCTGTTTTAGATTCAATCCATTTTCCTAAATGCTCCAAGGACTACCATAAATAATTAAACCGAGTTTAATTAATTTCACTCAAAGAAAAAATCCAAAGTCCATATTAACAGCCTAAGAAAGCCACCCAGGAGGTAGCCTCTCTTCACGTACTTATTCATTTACTTATTTATTTATTTAAACCTCATCTTCTACACTTTTCTCTCCCTGTTCACTCCTCTCTAGCCACACTGGGTTTCTGAACTACGTAAGGAATGCTCCATATCTCGGGGCTTATTTACTTGTTATTCTGTCGGCCTAGAACTTCTTCCCAGAGATGTTAATATCTGAGATATTCGTATCAGAGATATTTTACCTCTTTGTTCAAAAGCTATCTTTATTTTTTTACTATTAGTATCTTCCCAACAAGACTGGAAACTTGGCCACAACAGGGATTTTTGTTTTGTTTTGTTCAATGATGTATTCCCAGAGCCTATAATAGAGCCTGGTAAATACCAGGTACTCAAAAAAAACTGTTGGTTGAATAAATGAGTATTTAAAAGCAGACTGTGAAGCCATAACGTCTAGGTTAAAAAATCTCACCTCTCGCCTCTTACTAAGCTATATTACCTTGATCAACCTCCCTAACTTCTTGGTGTACCAGTTTCCCCCTCAATAAAATAAAACAAAATAAATAATAATAGTACTTATGTCATAAAGTAGTTGTTAAAATTAGTTTATACACGTACAGTAGTTTGAACGGTGTCTATGAAAAGTAAATGCAAAATAAATGTTACCTTTTAATTATTTTAATTAATTAATAATTTTAACTTCCAACAGTTTTTGCTTTCCCATCCTTTACAACATGACATGAAGCATTACTACTTTTGGGGGAGTATACTTTTTATTTATGTGAAAAACTATACCTTTTATATTGTTTACTTGAGTTCCATTTTGTTCTGTACTTTTGTGGTTTTGTTGGTTTTTGTTTTTGCTATATTCTTTAGTTTGCATTTGTTGGGTTTATATTCCACTATTGCTCTATTTCAATTGTTTTTGTATCAATTTATTTTAGGTCTGTCTCTTATACAGAGTACAGCTAGAAATGAAGGGTAAGGCCTACTGTACAATGTATCGTATCAGTTACATCTCATAAAAACACTAGAAGGATTTCCTCCTCTACAACTACTCTGTCCTCTAACAGATGCTAAGGTTGGATTCTCCTGGGAGAGCCAAACTATTTAATCCTTAAACACATACTTACTCTACTTACAGTGACTTACTCACAGATTAGGTAGCCTTTCCGTGAGTATTTCTTTATTATCTATAAGTTCTAAGTTTTTGGTGTGAAGATGGCAATATATCAATAGGATTTACTGTCAGAGGGGGTTGTGGACAGATAACACATTGTCTCAGTACAGTATCTCAAACCTAAAGTCTCCTTCACTACATAATAGTAAGAGCTAACTCTAAAATATTAAAAAAACCACTTCTGATTATTTTTCTCTTTCCTCCAAGTTCAATTTCTTTTTTTAAGTGATATAGCACAGTTGTACATATTTTGGGGTTATGTGTAATATTATAATACATGAATGCAATGTAAAATAATCAAAGCAGTAATTAAAATATCCATCACCTCAAATATTTATCTTTTCTTTATGTTAGGGACATTATAACTCTTCTCTTCTAGCTATTTTGAAATATATAATAAATTATTATCAATTATAATTTCCCTCCTGCACTATCAAATACTAGAACTTATTCCCTCTATCTAATGGTGTTTTTCTACCCATTAACTGACTTCTCTTCATCCCCCCTTCCCATATGAGTGAGGACATGTGAAATCTGTCTTTCTGCCCTTGGTTTATTTCACTCAGCTCAATGACCTCCAGTTCCATTCATGTTGCTGCAAATGACAGCACTTCATTCTTTTTTTATGACCAAATAAGATTTCATTGCATATAAACAACACATTTTCTTTATCCATTCATCTAGTGATGGACACTTAGGTTGATTCTATATCTCGGCTATTGTGAGTAGTGATGATGCCATAAACACAGGAATGCAGTATTGCTTTGATACACTGATTTCCTTTCTTTTGGATACATACCCAGCAGTGGGTCTGCTGGATCATATGGTAGTTCTATTTTTAGTTTATTGAGGAATCTCTATACTGTTTTCCATAATGACTATATTGCTTTACATTACCATGAACAGTGTAGGAGCATTCCCTTTTCTCTGCATCCTCGCCAGCATTTGTTAATCTTTGTCTTTTTTATAATAGCCATTCTAACTGGGGTGAGATGATATCCCATTGTGGCTTTGATTTATATTTCCCTGATGATTAGTGATGCTGAACATTTTTTCATACACCTATTGCCCATTTGTATGTCTTCTTTTGACAGATGTCTATTCGGCTCATTTGCCAATTTTTAATCAGATTTTTTGTTGTTTTTTTTTTGTTGTTGTTGCTGTTTTGTTGTTGTTGAGTTGTTTGGGTTCTGGTTATATATTCTGGTTATTAATTACTTGTCAAATGGATAGTTTGTAAATATTTTCTCACATTCTGGAGGTTGTCTCCAGGTTCAATTTCTACTGTTTTCTAGCACACAGAATTTGCTAGAAATTCCAAAGCAATGTTACATAAATGGTAACAGTGGGAACCTTTTCTTGTTCCTCTATCTAGAGTTTGGTCAAAGCCTTCCAGTCAAAGATCAATAAAAACACGTGTAGTTGAACAAGTTTTATTTATTGCTAACTGCAATAAATATGAGTGAGAGGTGCTTCAGTAAGAGTATTAGAAACAACTTACAGGATTTAGGCTTTTGTTAAATAATTCGGGGAAGGGTTCAAGGAAGTAGGGCTTCACTCTGGATTGGATATGGGACTAATTCTATGAATTAAGTAACTTAATAAATCTTACCTAGAAGGACAGAAGACTGCTACTACTGGGAGGCTAAAGTTTTAACTGGTAAAGAAGCAGCAATCACTCCTTAGTCAGGATAGAGGTGTGTCTGGTACTTTTTGTGGTTTGCACAGTGACCTTGTTCTTTTTTTAATTTTTTTTCAATGTGCTTAGACAAGTTTATGGAGTGATCTTGTTTTTTGTTTCACTTCGTAATAGTCACAGAGTAGCCTTGTCTGATGTTGATGTTCTGTGAAATTATATTCAAAGGGAGAACATCAAGGCCTACCTATTAATGCCAAGCCAGTTTCCAGACTTAGGGACTGCTTTTCTCTCTCGAGGTCTTACAATATATTTTAATTTAAGGCTTTAAAATTTCTTCTGGTATATCCCATTATGTCTTATAAAAATACCTGAACCTGGTATTTACAGGGATGTTCAGAAACAGACACAAATCAATCTATAAACTTACTGTAAAAAAAAAAAAAAAAGAGAGACCAAACGCGTGTGCGTGCATGAAGATAATAAAGCACAGGATATGCAGAGTAGTCACATTAACCATAAAAGTAACAGGGGTACCAATCAAAGTTTTGGGAAAAGAAAAACAAAAGCGATATGATCCAAAGTGATTTACTTTCCATTTTGACAAAAATAAGTACTACTTTTTTCACAAAAAGCAAATATATGAGTAAATCATTAAAAATGAATCTTTTTTTCCTTTTACTGTAAAGGATAATATCAGAACAATTCATAAAATCTGAATAAGATCTAGAGTTTAGATAAGAGAACTGTATCAATGTTAACTTCTTGAATTTTAAGATTACATTGTGATGACATAAGACAATATCCTTGTTTTTAAGGAAATGCACCGTAATGTTTTCAAGGGTAAAGAAACATATGTCTGTACCTTACTCAAACAATCCAAAGAAAAAAATTTCATGCATATATATGTAAAAGGCAGACTGAATGAGAATAAATGTGATAAAATGTTAAGCAGACAATATGGATGTAGAATGCAAAGGAATTCTTTTTATTATTTTTGTAATCTTTCTCTAAGTCCCAAATTATTTCAATACAGAAAGTTAAAAAAAAAAAAAAAAAGTCAGGCCTCAAAAATAGGTTTGACAAATATCAGCATCCCCACATCAAAGATGAAGAGAGCAAAAGTCAAAATAATCATATATTTAATTGGAAGAGGTGATGCTAGTTGTCTCTTTAACTCAAGCTTGTGGTCTACATTCCAGAGAAAAACTAATGTTTCAACATAATGATGGATAATTCATCAATAAATTTATAACTTTCATATCTCTAAGACAAACAATGCCCTAATTATTCATAATTTCTTCCTAAAGTATTTCCTTCCTATTGAGGTCTAGAATTACCGGTAAATTAAAAAAAAAAAAATTTTAAATTCTTATCGACAAGCAAATAGTCGATTCTTCCATTATGCATCAGAGCTATTCAAGTCCTAATCAACACCATAGCATTCAAACAGTTGTCTTTATGATAGGACATTTCAGTAAACTAATCTAATAATTTTATAACTCAGGTGCTTATAGTACTCATGGTACCACTAAAACATACTGTTAAATATATCATTTACCTGAGAACTGCCACTGAAACCTGGAGGTTGGCTGTATTCTGTGGAATCAATAATACTACTGCAAAATGAAGAGAGAAAAATGTGATTTCAGTATTTACATTATTTTAACAACAGAAAAAGCAGATCAAAATAATATATCATATATAAACCCAGTATTTCTAAGTTCTAAGGAAAGAAAACATTTATTGCCACTCATTTAATTGGATGTCAAATACACAACCAGTACACATAAAATCAACAAATATTTAAGTAATTTACTACTTTTACCCATCACCTTAAACATACATATCAAAAAAGAACATCAACAGGGAATAAACACAAGGCACATGTCTACACAGATTTGTTTCTATTTCATTTTCAGATAGGTTAATAAGATTTTTGGAACTTTAAGGAAAAGATGATTTATAGTACTGGGAAAAGCATAATATGCAATTAAAAGCTACGGTTAATAGATCCTGCTATGCCATGAAAAAGCTATGTGCTCTTAGACAATTACCTTATATCCCTCAGTCTCCTCATCTGCAAAATGAGGTGAATGGAGACTAGGTCTCTCTGTAAATTATCTAGAGTTCCTTCCAGCTCCAAAATGTTATGATAAAACCTCGGGGAAAAAAAAACTACCAAAGGAATGGAATAAATAGAAAAAAAAAAATCTTTCAATCTTTCTTTTATAACCCAAAACTATATACTAATTTCCTCTGTCTCAGTCAAACATAATCTGCTTTCTGTATTGGTTCTTTTTAATTGGTTATATCCCCTGTACATTCTCCTACGTAACTCCCAAAAAACCACTTCTGGAAGTCTAGACTATCTTTTACTTCCTCTATCTTACCATCTGATGGTTCCTATCTCCCTCCCATCTTTAAATAAAATGTATTAGCCTATAAAAACTATCAACAATTGAAAATTGCATGACATATATACCCACCACGATAATTATTTACTTTTTATATTCTTCTTCCCTTTTCTACTATAAACATGTTTATAGTCTTGTCTACCCTGATGAAGTTCAAACAATTGAGGGTACTAATTAAAATGGTTCCCTACACAAATACACAAACGATTAATTACTTTGGTATTGAAATAACCTCAGAAGTTAAGACATGAAAGGTACTTTTAGGAGTACAGAGTTTGAATTTTACTCCTCAGCGCTAATAACTTGACTCTAAGTTATTAATCTTATTTGACCTCTAGTTTCTCCATCTATTAAATCATGAAGACACATCAGAGAAGTTTGAGATTTTATTAAATGAGATAATGTGTGTAAAGTGCTCAGTATGATACCAAAATATGGTAAACATTCAATGAGTTTTAGCTTCTATCTTTAACAAAATCTTTAATAAAATCTCATTTTCAAAAATATAATAAATGTAATAGAATTTTCCTCGCAGTAATTTTTTGTAAAAAGCAGCACAGTTAACGCATACAAACATAGTTAGATCGAAGGAATAAGTTCTAATGTTTGATAGCAGAGGATGACTACAGTTAACAACAATGGATTGTATATTTCAACATAGCTAGTACAGTACTTGAAATGTTCCCAACACATAGAAATGATAACTACTCCAGGTGATGAATATGCCAAATACCCTAACTTGATCATTACACATCCTATGCATGTTGCAAAATATCACGTGTACCCTATAAATATGTACAATTGTGTACCATAATAAACAGCTTGTTGCATGTCCTCCCTAAAAGCAACATATATTAGTAAGTCTTAATTCATTGTATTCTTAACTGTTCCTACAGTAAAAACTCAATTACACAAGAGAGACCCTTTAAAGTACTTACACTATAAATTAAGAATTCACACATTTTTGTAATGAGTTTCTTTTGATGAAATATAACCAATGCTCACCTTCCTTGGAGAGTCATGTACTGCTATGACAAGGTCACATGTTATTTTCAGTCTACTCCATGTAGGGACTAATAGGACTAAAATGAGGAGATGGCATGCACTCAAAACACTCTCTGTCCCTTCTACTGAAGAAACCCAATTCCCTAGCATATGTATAACATTAACAAAATTATGTAGTTGCATATTTAGAGGCCAAAAGAAAAGAACAATTCTATCTATGAATTTTTAGGGTTTTATGATTCTACATTCTTTGACTGCAAGCCTGAAAAATGATACTGATATCTCAATGTGGCTGGTGAAATAATACATTTCAAATATATGTTAAAAAATACTCATCAATTTGGTGAAGATATTCAAATTATAGGTTTTAAAATGGTATTTTATTAATAATCACTGCAGAGTTTGAAATTTGTATCAGGTCTTAATTTTATTCACTAAGAAAAATTTATAATGCATGAAGACTGCAAGAGAGGAAATCTGAAAACTAAAACCCTTTAATTCTGCTTTTTAAAAAATATGTGTGTGTGTGTGTACATACACACACAGACACATATGAACACAACTAGAAAAAATATTAGAAAGCAATGACGGGGCTGGGTCTCTCTTGACTCTAGTGCTATACTATTTCTTAACTGTCAATTTATCCACAATCACTAGATGGCAATAACAATATTGATAGTACCATTTATCACGCATTTACTATCCAGTAGGCACCAACCTAAATTTAAACCTCACAGCTCTAAGAGAGATACTATTACCATTCTCATTTCTCAAGTGAGAAAACTCAGGCACTGACAGATTACATATTTGGTCCATGGTAACAACATTAGCAAATAGCAGAGTTATTAATCAAAGCCAAGCAGTCAGGTTCCAGAGTCCACAATGAACCACCATGCTATACTCCCCTAGGCACTTTTATGTTCTCTAACTGAGGAGTAGGAAAATCCTAGATTAGCCCACCCACTTCATAGATATATTTTAGGGAGAAAAATGTAAAACAACAACCTATAAATGTGAGACAGAATCATCAATTGTTTCAAATAAATGTCAATAAAGTTACAAAGTTTATAAAAACCAAGACATCAAAAGATATCAAGGGAAAAAATGAAATATTTAGGGTGGTAACTAACACTGGGTTAGGAATAATAAACCTTAATCAAGATGTTGGTAATAAGATGATAAAATAGTAATACTTCCCAATGCTCTTACTAATGACAATGAGAAACTTAGCTAAAAACAATTCAGCTGTTACTACGAGATACAAAAGAAATATATAGTTACGCAATTAGATGTCACACAACTACTCTCACTTAAATTGTTTTCTTCCAAAAGCAAAGATGTACTTTGTAATTAGAAGATAGATTATTAAATCAATTTTTCATACAAGTGTACCTATAATGAATAGGTAGCTAAGAGAAAATGTGGGTTACTGCTGGTAAAAATAATGTTTACTAATTTTAGAATGGATTTTTATTTTGAAAAAGGATAATTTACATTTAAATTATTAGTAGACATGCTATCTAATTAAATTATAAAGAGAATTTTTAAATCTATGAGCAAAAATAAAGCACACAGATCATTTAAGGCTGAACATAAAGACAATAAATATGGGATTTCTAAATAAATAAGGGAACTGAATGGATACAAAATGCCATGAGCATAAATAAAATTAGACTGACTGCTATCATTAATTTTTTTTTACTATCAACTTAAGACAGAGAAAAATAAACTTCTACATTTAATAAATCCTATGGGCTACAGACAAAACCTGTTCCTTTTCAGTATTCTGCAAGTAATTATTGAACCAGTTTCCCCAAAACAAAATATACTAAGCAACAAGTAACCTGAAAATAATCTGACATAAATTTTTAATAATAATTTTTAATCGAATTTTAAATTAATGGTAAATCCCATTTACTAAGCAACCAAAATTCTTGTGCCCCCAATTTTGCAGACACCTCCAGAGATACTAGAAATCAGTCTTTATTTTTTCCTGTTTTATGCCACATACCTTTTAACATTTGACACAAGTAGTCAAACAAATCATCCCAAATCAATGTGACTGATCTGCCAACTAACAATAGCAGCAGCTAACATCTACTGAGCCCTTACTATGTGCCAAAAATTATTCTAGTTTCTTAAATGCATTATCACAGTTCATCAGTCAAGACAGATACTATTGTCCTCATATATTTTAATTTTCTCCATGAGCGTATCATACAAACATTAAGATCTGATTATAAATGAAAACAGTAACTCAGTTTTGTTTTTCTCAGAAAAACTTTACATAATTTATAGTTACATTTTTAATTTTGTGGTCTTAATCACAGTCTTACTTTTGTCAAGTCAGAAGAGACAAGTAGGGATTTAAAAAAAATAAAAGACAGATACTATCAACCTTATTTTATGAATGAGAAAACTGAAACATACAGAAATTAATAAATTTGACTAAGGCCTGTTAATAAGCTGTAGAGATGAAACCTGAACCCAGGTAGTATAATTCCAGAATCCTTACACTAAGATTGCCAAAGTGGCCTATGTCTTCTCTTCATGAAGAATCACTGCCCTTTCATTTTGAATGGAAAGTTTCTGTTTATCTTCTCAATGTTTTGTTCTCAAGTCTGAGATCATTTCCACAACCCTCTCATTCCCCAAGGATTTATAGGCTTTAGAGTAATGATGTCTGGGTTAGAATACCAGTTATTCCATTAACGGTGTGACAGTGGGAAAATTATTTCATCTCTGTGACTCAGTTTCCTAATCTACAAAATGAAAAGGATAATACAACCTATTACATACATTTATTATGAGAATTATATGAGATAATACATGGAAATTACAAACAGTACCCGATACACAGCTGCACTATCACTCTGACAGTTACAACTTTTGCAAATAAATGCAATTCTCTCCTAGGACAGAGTTCCTGATTTTGATGCAAAATTCAATTGCAAATTAACATGAAACTTTATACTGTCTGTTTAGGACTCTTTAGAAATAGACAACTAATACTCTTCTCACGGCATTTGAATTTCAATGAGACAAGTTTTATGTAAATATTAATAAATGTGATTATGATAAAGGTGATTACAGGTGACTATTAATAAAGGTGATTACAAAAGCCCTTTAGCAATATATAGTTTGGCCTTAAAAAATACTGGGCTCAAAATGATTACATAAGACCTCAATTCCTAAAA